CCCCCAAAAAAAAATACAAAAACTGCTATGCCATAGCAACCACCCAGAACACACTATAAACCACCCATAATGCCCTATTAACCACCTAACACCATAACAGCCTGATACATAGCAACCCCCAGAAAACTCTAGAAACTGCATAACAATGCCTTAGGAACCAAGACCACCACAGAAACCATCTAACAACACCCTAACTGCTTAGCTACCCCCAGAAAACCACAGCAAGTGTTTAGCGGTGCCCTAGAAACCACCTAGTACACATTAACAATAGCCTCAACAACTCCAACAACCCAGAACACCATAGAAACCCCCCATAATGCCCTACCAACCACCTAACACCATAATAAACACCCGGTACACCCTGATAAGTGCCTATCAACTTCATAATGTTTACCAACTCGAAGAAAAATCTAGCAACCACCAATAACACTCTAGCAACCATCTAACATCACCCTTATAACTTCTTAGCTACCCCCCAAAAAACATACCAACTGCATTAAAACACCATAGAAACAACCCATAACAACTGATTACACCCTATGCTTAACAATCCCCTGAACTCTAGATCTGTGATCCCATAGCAACCCCCCATAACAACTCCTTAGCAGTCACTCAAGACACACTGACAACTGTCTATCAATGTCCAGGCAACCTCCCAGAACACTCTAGAAACCACATATCAATACCCTAGCAACTGCCTTACCATGCCCTAGTAACCTCCCAGAACTCCTAAGAACCCACATAACCACCCCCCAGAACCCCCTTGCAACTGCATATCAACACCCTAGTGGCCTTATGGAACACCCTAACAATCACCTTGGCAACCATTCAGGACACCTTTGACAGATTTGCCTATGCCTATGTGCAGACTACATGTCTGTTTGATCTCAATGTCAATGCCTTGCTAATATGTGGGTCACTCCATATCAGAGAAACCACAGTGTCTGGTTGACAAATGACGGTGCCACCCTTCAAACGACGAGGACCACCGGAGCCCCTCCACACAGATGAGACAGGCTTTGATGTGTGCTTGAAACCCAAGAGAGAGCAGAGGTGGCTGTTGTCACACACTCTGCACTTTAATGTGTGTGAGATGAACACTGTGAAGTGCTTAAGCTCTGTGTTACGTTCAAAGGGAGTTCACATGAAGGTCAAAGACACCAGCAGCTAAATTCAAATAAGAGCCTAAACGAAAGGGAACACTCAAGTATTTAATATTACAATACCACTAATGTTCTAAACAAGAACTTTCCATTCAGGCCCTGGGCTATTTTAACGTGCCACAGCAGAACAAGGTGTTCAAAATATACATTTCTCACACATGCAAATGTGGCACTGACAACAGCCAGTGGTGGCATGCTCTGTTTTGCAGAAAGTTTTAGTTGCTCTTTTTCATGCATCAAAACGTCTCCTGGGTCTTAACACTTACAACCTTTTGGTTATCAGCCCCAGTCTACCCCCTAATCATATCAAACCCTGCTGTCAAGAAAAACTATATGAATGGGGTTCTTCATTATGTTGCATATAATAAGCCTTGTACAATGTACAATGCAATCACAATTCTGAAGGGAATTCATTTAATAGTATTTGACACTTGATGCAAGAAAGCCCTTGTCAGAACTCAATTTTTCACCCAAGGCATTCAAGCATAACTCTGACTCTTTTAGGAGAACTGATGGCTTTCACCAGCCCTGTTGCCTAGAGACACATTCACCATAACCCTTTGCCTCCAACAGCAGTGTCTCTGAAAAACTAAATGTGCAAAAAGAAAATAAATCTGTTGCATTAATAGTTTATAGGATGTTTTAACATTGAAGAGAATACGCTATTGCTCTTTTATAGCTCACAAGCTTTCTTTTAAGCATCCTTCCTTTCTTGTAAAATTCCAAAGCATAAATAAAAAGTGACACAAATGAGAGAGTTGTGTCTTGAGTTTAGAGTATTGTGGCCAGCATAGCTCAGATAACTTTGCCTTAGATTCATTTTATGAGAAAGTAGTTAATATTGAGCTGGTCATCCATCTGTTTCCATTCCTTTGGCCCGAGATGCTGGAATAGGTTCCAGCTTCCACGCGACCTTATGAAGGACAAGAGGTTTGGAGCAGTGGTTCCCAACCACGTTCCTGGAGTTCCCCCCAACACTGCACGTTTTGTGTGTCCCCTTAATAAAACACACCTGATTCAACTCATCAACTTGAATACAACCAGCTTGTCAGTAAAATCTCCTGAAATGGGTGTGTCAGATAAATAAGACATGCAAAAAGTACAGTGTTGGGAGTACTCCAGGAATATATTGGGAACCACTGGTTTGGAGAATGGATGAATAGTTCATACTGAGTTCCCAGACTTGTGATTGCAGACTTTGGTATCTAGGCAAATCCTGAGCAAAGTTTTAGACATTGCTGACAAGTCTTCTGAAATTCAAGAGGGGATGAGAGATTATTCAGGTATTTTTTCTCTCTCAGGAGAACCACCAAATGCAGGATATTTCTACAAAAGTCTCCATTTGAGTTAATGTCATTGCTAGGAGAAACAATTTAAATATTATGGAGATCTCATTTGTAACTCTTCTTTCCAACTTGAATGTAAACTCTATGAGGCCAGAGTGTGTGTGCTGTGAAGTGCTTGAAAACCGGTAAGCTCCACTGTGTTACAAGATGGCATTTGTACTGAAGACACTTCCAAAAGGCTATCCGTGAAGGTCATCATCACTATGACAACAGTATGCAAGCTACGGATGTTAGCGCTCCAAGCCTGATCTCCCTTTGAGAGCAAGCAAGATCCTACTGAGTCTCTATAACCTTGTTCTTTTTCCAGTGTCCTCTTTATGTCACAACAGCTCTAAGCACATTTTCAATTTTGCTTCACCTCAGGGCACTGGCACCAAAAAGTGTTAAAAGCAAATTACCGTCCACTAAACTCATCAATTTTGTAGCGAACTCTATGGGACGCTATTAAAAGTCTTTGCGCATACAACTTTAGGGCACGGAAAACAACTTTAAAGTGTAATGCGACTAATACATCTAGTCATTTCAAGCCCGATGGGACACACTGTACCAATCCCTGCACAAAGACCAGCGATTGGAAACAGCCTCTGGCAGAAGGAGTCGCTGTCATCAATCTCAATGATCCTGAAAAAGCCACTTTCTTCCTTCTCAGCAACTCTCAGAGGCACTGTATATTTTCATAAACATTTCACACCGAAACCTCTCAAACACCTCGGAGAATAACATCAAGGACTAAAGTTGGACATCTCATCATCAAGCCACTCAAACCATGATGGCGTGGCGGCAGTCCAATGGCTAGTCAATGCTGGTTAGTTTTGAAATTGCTGGAGTTTTTTAAGAGAGGGAGGGTTACCTGTGTACAAGGAGATGTAGGCGGAATCGATGACCTCATACTTGAGTCCTGGCAGGAAAGGGCGCCACTGTAATAGAGACAAAGAGAGACGGTTAGAGATAAGCTAGACTCGAGTCTCATACGGCACAGCCACGGTTGGCCAACAGACCATTCTGGATGCATATTGCACACCAAACCGGCAAGATCCGGCTGAAATCAGCAGTTCTAGCAATTTCTGGGAATCAGGGCACATGGGTTTCATCAGTCTACCAGGAAATCATGTTGCGTTTAGGTACCAATTGAATGCAAAAAGTGCTTTTGAGAAACAATCAGTTGCAGGATTTGATGAAGTAGTTGATGAAGTTGATGAGGTTTATGCTATTCAGTTGTTTGAAAGATACTCTAGAATTTTGTAGGAGACACTTGAGACAGCACTTTTCCACCTTCAGGCAGAACAGTTAGTTTTGCATAATTAAAGGGATAATTAATGACAGAATTTTCATTTTTGGGTGAACTATCCCTTTAAGTCTGGTTTTGTACCAATAAGAGCTTGTCTATAGACCCTTTTAGTGCCGACGTCACAATTACGTCACAGCGCTAGCTGGAGGCAAAACAAAGGGAAAACTGGAGGCAGCCAATTCAAACCAGTAGATATTTGGCTATATAAGGAGCTTCAAATATCATCTTGTTGTGATGTTGGAGTACAGGCTCCAATCTGAAATTTTATCGCACACCTGCTGCCATTGCCAGACAAAAATCCGACAACAGCTGTGGTTAAAAACGCAATAAAAATAAACAATCGTCAAAAATGCTTGCGTTTGTAGCGTACCCTTATCAGAGCAGGTTAAATAAAGTATTGTCTTTTGTTGTTATGGATTATGGATTGTGTTACGCGTCTAAAGATTTGCATCTCACAACATGCAAGAGTAGCCTATGTCGTGTATGAAAATCTGTGTGCATGTGTGTAAAACAACAAACTGACGATTTATATGCCTCAATCATTTGTAATTGTGGCTGGAATTTGTAAGAACTTGGTAAGAAAGAATAATCAAATAGCCTACAGAAAGCTGAAAATGTGCAGTTTTTGGATTTTTTTATTTCTAGAAAATATTCACATTAAAGGTATTATAATGTCACTGTAAACTTGCATCATTTACAGGAGGTATACTTTAAAATAACTATTTGTCCATTACATACATACATCTTCAAAGAATATATCCAATATCCATCACATTAAATGTCTAACTTTTTTGTATTTTGGCCCAGTTCACTCTCACTAGCTGTAAAAATAGTTGCCTGCTGACACTGAAATATATCCATCTTCATGACTAGACAGACAAAAGGTGAGCTTCTCTTTATTATACACGTTAGGTTTCTCTATCAGGTAGGTGTAAATGTGAATCACTCAACCGGAGGTAATCCTGTCAGATCGTCCATCCATTGAGTGAGTGTGTACTGGTCGGCCAGTCTGGTTTCGTCAGTTATAGTTAACGTTTTCAAATAGCAATCGCTGTCACGGACAGTGAGTGACCTTACATATTTATGTAGAATCGGGTTTTCTCCAGTCATTGTTAAAAAACAAGCTAACAAAACTTCATAGCTAGCGTTAGTGAAGCGGTCAGGGGAATCTTTCTGCCTCCACCTAAGCTCCGCCCACAGAAAAAGTCACATTGTTTACTAACGGAAAAGGGGTCTATACAATTACAATTTCTTTCTGCACTGGGGTGCTGCAAAATCAGCTATTTAGCTAGCCATGCTTAGAACATGTGTGGAACAATAAGAAATCATATCATAATTAACTGTGTCCTAATAAAACTGCTACTGGTAACGTTACTTGCCGCCCTCATAACCATTCAGCCTGGACCTAGATTTGAGTGAGGCCCAGAAAGCAATAATCATTTCAACAGAGAGGGAACCCACCATGAGTCTGGGTCCTTTTCATCAGTCAGAGGGTTCTCTTCTTGTCTAAGTGGGTGGTTCGTTATGCTGGCAAATCTATGCCAAAAAGAACCGAGTGCACCAGTTATGTTTATGCACACGGTAAATTGCTTCCGCAAGAGGATAACAGATATGGCTGTATGGCTGTTTCTCAATTCCAAGAACGTAAAGAACGAACTTGTGTTCTTGTGGAGACCGGTCTTGCCAGGCTACATTGAAAGAACGAACTAGGAAGGACGTGAGAACACAGAACACATCTTTGTGAGAATTGAGATGCGCTGTGATCTTCCGCTCAACTGACAGAACGTTATAAGGAGCGAGACACAATAAATAACGCATAACATCAAAAACTAATGTCATATTAAAACATCTATTTCAGATTATTATAGACAATAATGAAACCAGATGAAACTTCTAAATTATCTAAGCTAACGGAGTGTGTTAAAAATGTAAAAGAATGGATGACCAATAATGTTCTCCTATTAAATTCGGATAAGACAGAGATAGTACTTATTGGACCAAAAGACAGTACGCCGAATCTCGTGGATTACAATTTGCAACTAGACGGATGCACGGTTACTTCCTCTACAGTCAAAAATCTGGGTGTTATATTAGATAGCAACTTGTCTTTTGAAAATCATATTTCCCATGTTACAAAAATGGCATTCTTCCATCTTAGAAACATTGCCAAGTTACGAAACATGATAACTGTTTCTGATGCAGAAAAGCTAGTTCATGCATTCATGACCTCTAGACTGGACTATTGTAATGCACTGCTAGGCGGTTGTCCTGCATCTTCAATAAACAAGCTACAGGTAGTCCAAAATGCAGCGGCTAGAGTCCTTACCAGGTCAAGAAAATATGATCATATTACCCCAATTTTACAGGCTCTGCACTGGCTACCTGTTAAGTTCCGTATCAGTTACAAAATATTATTACTTGCCTATAAGGCCCTTAATGGGTTAGCTCCTGCGTACCTAACTAGTCTTCTACCACGCTACAATCCATCACGCTCCCTAAGGTCGCAAAATTCTGGACTTTTGGTAGTACCTAGGATATCAAAGTCCACTAAAGGAGGTAGAGCTTTTTCGCATTTGGCTCCCAAACTCTGGAATAGCCTTCCTGATACCGTTCGGGGTTCAGACACACTCTCTCTGTTTAAATCTAGATTAAAGACACATCTCTTTGGCCAAGCATTCAAATAATGCATCTCATAATCTTTTACTGCAGTCATAATCTTTTACTGCAGTTATATCTAATCAAATGCACATTATTATTCATTAGTTTGGGTTAAACAAATCATTTTTGCTTGGTTGGAACAGCAGCTACGCTAATTATGTTTGTATTTGTTTCTCTGTCTTTTGCCACGGGATTAACATCCCGTGGTAACTAGGATTCACACAAGCTTCAGTCTGGATCCAGAACACCTGAGAAGAGATGATACCAACCCCTCAGAGGACCTCAGATGATGCCAACCCTGAAACAACATACAGAACTACCACATTTTGCTATAAGTTTGATTGCATCATATAATAATTGCTGTTAATATTATTCATCGTCTGTTTTATTACGTCTTATATTGATTTTTCCGTTCTGCTGGTTCGTCTGGTCAGAGGAGAACTGGCCCCCCGACTGAGCCTGGTTTCTCCCAAGGTTTTTTCTCCATTCTGTCACCGATGGAGTTTTGGTTCCTTGCCGCTGTCGCCTCTGGCTTGCTTAGTTGGGGACACTTAATTTCCAGCGTTATCGTTGACATGATTGCAAAGATATTATTTAAACTGAACTGAGCTGGATGTTGACATCACTGAATTCAATGATGAACTGTCTTTAACTGAAAAATGAGTGTTTACTATTGTCATTTTGCATTATTGACACTATTTTCCTAATTAATGCTGTTCAGTTGCTTTGTCACAATCTGTATTGTTAAAAGCGCTATATAAATAAAGGTGACTTGACTTGACAATACTTCCATAGTATTTATATTATTCTTTTTATTTTACCATATGTATTTGTAAAAATGATTAGGCTTAGGCATGTATATTTAATGTTAGCTATATTTTGTCAATGTTCAAATTATCATTGTTAAAAAAATGTGCCAATAAAAAGCCTGACAGGCTTTTTTACAGGTCTTTATCGCTTTATTAAAATTATGCAAAACAAAACGACAATGTTTACTTCCATGAGCCGTCGCGTATTCACAGGCTTGCAAGCTTACAGGCTTCCGTACGTCTTCCGCCCGCAGCGTCTTCTGGAATTTCTAACGGTTTGATCAAAGCCACTACAAATAACTTATATTGACTTGAATGCAGCAAATAACACTCCTTGGTCTCCCCCCACTCACCCTTATGTAAAAAAATAAATAGATGAAATATATTTACAGACATACAATTTGTGTTTTTCATTTATTTCTTGTTACTATGCACACCTTGACGGTAAACCACATTTTTTAACTGCTTCTGAGAAGTGGTAAGCTGTTGAGGCCTGGTTGTTATTTGCTGCATTCAAGTACATAACCTGAAAACATAAAGAAAATACAAACCAATTTGGGATTTACAATTATGTACACTTACAATTATTTAACGGGCAAGCATATAGTGGTAATATAGTGGTGAACTACAGCTAATTTGAGTTATAGCAACAAGTTGACTATTAGTTTTATTTTATTTGTATTTTGTGAAGTGAATATTACCCAAAGCATTGTGTTGTATAAAAAAAATCAAATAGAACAATTTTGGTAGATTGACCATGCTAATAACCGTGAAAACGTCTCGGTTACGTATGGTAACCCTCGTTCCCTGAAGGAGGGAATGGAGACGTCACGTCGGATGACAGACGAAATTGGGATCTCGCTTAGAGGGACCAATCTACTTCGAGTGTAAACTAAACGAGCCAATGCACATTGGCATGCGATTATTGCATCCAGCTGCTGCTG